AAAACTTAAAAATAACAGAGTCTGCCTTTTACTTCATGTTGGCACTCTATCGTTCTCTGAAAACAAAGGTGGAGGTTAAAGAAATGCATTTTGATTCTCTGCTGCACAATACAAGACAGCCAAGAATGGACGTTTGTCCTCAGCTAGGTCATTGTCTTCACCACCTTGTTCCCAGGTTAGCAGCTTTTTCATGGAGGGAGGAACGCTCTAATGAGAGGACCAGGGACAAGGGAGAAGGTTTCCTGGATAGAGTTGAAAGAACCTGTGTGTGGCTTCATCCGGTGGAACAGTACACTATTCTTTGATCTCTCTAGGAGTTACTCTTCTTTCTCCTGGAATATTCATTATTGATTTTATTTCCTGGAGTTGAAGTCATGGTGAGTATTCATTACTCCTGCACTAAGGCCCAAGTCCATCCTGACTGAGCTGTACTTGCAAACAGTGGACAGCAGGAGTCACACTTCACAGAGCCTGACTGCTGTGAACAGCAGCTTCCTCCTTTCCCTCTGTCCCAGGAACCAGGTGCCGCCACCCACTTTTCAGCATCCTTCAGCTCCCACACTCACTCAGTCACCTACCCAACCAATCCAAAGACCAGGGCTCACACACCACTGCCACGCTTGAGTCTGTTTAGGCACTAGTTTTTAACCTCATTGGGTTTTTCCCCACCCATACCAAGTTCGTGCTCCTCTAGGTAGCCCACTGTTTCTCCTGCTCTTTATAGTTGTTGTTCCTGCTTTGTTACAGGAAATAACTGAGGAGGGTCCAGGACACCAGGCTCAGTCTTCACGGGCAGGTCTGCTCTGGGATCCAGATAAAGTGCTGGCAGTGACAATGCAGGCAGCATGTCCTAGTAGCTCATACTGGAAATGGCCCACCCAGACCAGCAGGGCTAGGTTTTTTACAGAATCACTGAAGGACAGTTTCATGTTGGGAAAATTATTATTGCATCCATTTCTATATCAACATTAAGAAGTAATTATTACTAGTACACTTTCTAATACTTTAATACATATGCATATATATGCATATATTAATTTGAAAGAATAAGAGCTACAGGAAGAGGGAGGCTTAGGGGGGGAGTGGAAGGAGAGAGAGCTTTTCCTAGCTACACGTTCACTCCCTAAATGGCCACAATGGTCAGCACAGGTCAGGCCAAGACCAGGAGCTTCATCTGGGTCTCCCACATGTACCCAGGGACCCAAGCATTGAGTCGTCCTCCATTGCTTCTCCTAGATCATTAGCAAGGAGTTGGATTGGAAGTGGACCATCTAGGATGCAAACTGGAGCCCATACAGGATGACAGTGCTGTAGGCAGCAGCATTACACTGGCCCAGGAATACATTTTGAAAAAGTCATTGTTAGGGAGACAGCACAATAACCTGGAAAGCCAACCCTACACCTGCAGCCTCAGCATCCCATATGGGCTCAGGGTTGTGTCCTGGTTCCTCCATTTCCAATCCAGCTCCCTGCTTATGGAAGAAACATTTGGGGCTCTGTACCCACATGGGAGACCCAGAAGAAGCTCCTGACACTTGTCCTCACGTCAGTTCAACTCTGACTGTTGCAGCCATTTGGGGAGTGAACCAGCAGAAACAAGATCTCTTTCTCTCTGTGTCTTTCCTTCTCTCTAAAAATCTGCCTTTCAAATAAAAATAAATAAATATTTAAACGAATGAAATGTGAGGCAATTTTGATGGCTGTGTGAAGGCATAGAATGTGCTTATTAAAACCTGGATGGCAGAATCCACTATATCCCTAAGCTGTGTGATATAGCCTGTTGCTCCTCAGCTGTAAACCTACACAGCATGCAACTGTACTGAATAGTGTAGGAAATTATAATACAATGGTAAATACTTACATACCAAACATACCTAAACATAGAAAAGGAGTGGTAAACATATATGGCCTAGAAGATCTTTTCATGGCAATATTGTGTAGGTGCTTATTCTGAATCGGCTTGCAGGACTTGAAACTGTTATGGGTGGGGTACTGAGTAAGCATGAGTGAATGTAAATGCTTGGGACATTGCCGCACATGATTACTGTTTCTATAAACACTATAAATTAGACAACACTAAGTTTATTTTTTAATTCATTAGTTTTTTCTTCAAGCTTTATTAATTTTCATTGGAAAGTCAGAATACAGAGAGAAGAAGAGACAGAAAGGAAGATCTTCCATCCACTGAGTCACTCCCCAAGTGGCTGAAAACAGCTGGAGCTGAGCTGAGCTGAGCTGAAGCCAGAAGCCAGAAGCTTCTTCTGGGTTTTCACGCATTCACAGGGTCCTGAGGCTTTGAGCCATCTTCAACTGCTTTCCCAGACCACAGGCAGGGAGCTGAATGAGAAGCAGGGCTGCCAGGACACAAACTGGAATATATATGGGATGCTGGCACATGTATGGAGAGGACTTTAGCCACGAGGCTACTGGGCCAGGGCTCAAAAAATTACCTTCTATATAATAATTCATCTTATTGTACGTTTTCTTTTTTATTTTTCAGTTTGTGGTAGTTAACATATAGAGATGTATAAGAAATTGGATTTGATTGTTGTTTATAACACTAGTCCACATACCAGTGGACCAGGGGTCTCTTTACTTTCCATTTCTTGAACTCTTCATTTAGCGCAGGAGTAAGCCCTTGACTATGAAGGAAATCAAAAATGCGCTATAACAAGCAAAAGAGAAAGAAAAGAGGAGGAAGGCAGGAGCAAGGGGAGCATTGAAGGATCATAATCTTTGAATTTTTTCTATCAACTGTATTAAATATGCTTTGTCTTTGTAAGTGAAGAAAAGTAAAAACAAATAATTTTTTTAGCTTTTGAATACTTTGGAATTAACTTAGCCCACAATACCAATAAATGTACTAAGGTACATAAACATATGTTTTTACTCTACATTCTTATCCTTTCAGGTTTCCTCTTTCTAAACTTCTGTTAAAAAGCTAAAACACAAATAGGCATGTTAGTAGGCTTACACAAGGTCAGGTTCATCAATATCACTCTCTTCCACTTGAATTTCTTTTTAAAAAAGATTTATTTATTTGATGGAAAGATGAGTGGGTATAGAAGAAGAAGGCTATACTGGGTTAATCAAAACACAATTACACAGAAGGAATATGTTCTAGAGTGTTCCACAGCACAGTGAGGTGACTATAGTGCAAAATAACCTAGTAGAAGAGAGATCAGTGGCTCCAAATCCTTGCTCTGCATGTGGTAGGATCCCATATGGGCACTGATTCATGTCCTGGCTGCTCCACTTCCCATCCAGCTCCATGCCTGTGGTATGAGAAAGCATAACAGATGTGCCATAGCCTTGGGACCTTGTGCCCATGTGGGAGCCCCCGAAGAAACTCCTGGATCCTCACTTTGGATTAAATCAGTTGCTACCATTGCGGCCAGCTACAAAAGGGGCCAGTGGAAAGAAGATCTTTCTCTCCTTCTTTATATCTGCCTTCTCAATAAAAATAAAATAAATCTTTATAAATGATTCATTCTATTTTTATTGAGAAGGCAGAAATACAGAAAGAATCAGATGCAGAAAAGATCTTCCATCTGATGATTCACTCCCCAAGCGACCACAACTGGTGAGCTGATCTGAAGCCAGGAGCCAGGAACCTCGAACCTCCTCCAGGGCTCCCACGTGGGCACAGGATTCCAAGGCTTTGGTCATCGTCTGTTGTTTTCCCAGGCCACAAGCAGGGAGCCGGATGGGAAGTGGAGTAGATGAGACATGAACTGGTGCCCTATGGGATCCTAGAGCATGCAAGCTGAGGACTTGAGCCTTTAGGCTTTTGTGCCAGGACCTCAAAGAAATATTTTTTAAATTTTGTTTTATATATATATGTATAACATACTAATATATATATATATAAAATATACTAGAATATAAAACATACTATACTAGTATAGTATAAAAAATTCTATACTAATATATAAAACATACTAGAATGCTTCTAAGACTAAGATACTACTAACACAACAAAATGAGAAAATGGATGCCATTGGATTTCATTATTCTTATTGTAATAAACCAGTCCCAGGTTCAGTGCAGCAAGCTAGTAGCTAAAGTCCTAGCCTTGAACACTCCATGATCCCATATAGGCACCGATTCTAATCCTTGCTGCCATGCTCCCATCCGCCTCCCTGATTGTGGCATAAGAGAGCAGTTAAGGACAAACCAAAGTCTTAGAACCACGCACCTGCATGGGAGACCTGGCAGAGCTCCTGGCTCCTGGCTTCACATCAGCTCAGCTCCATCCACGGCCACTTGGCGAGTGAACCAGCAAAACATCAGTCTATCTGCTTCTCTTACTTTCTGCCTTTCCAGTAAAACCAAATAAAACTTGGTAAGAAAGTCCCCAAATAAGGCAAATATCATGTGTTCTTGACTTATGGGAAATAATGTATAGAATCTAAAAATGTAAGGTGTCTGAGTGAGATTGACACTTTGAGATTGCTCATTGTTTGTAGTTCTTGATTATATTCATGAGGAGGAGTGGTTTTTCTACTTACTGCTTTTGAATTCTTTTTTCAGCGGAGGATGAAGCTGTGCTTACGCTTAAATGAAAATAATGTCACTAAAAAATTCAATGTAAAATATGAAAGAAAACTAGAAGGAGGGTGAGAGGCAAGGAAGGAGGGAGGAAGGTGGGAAACAACATTATGTCCTTAAAACTGTAAAATAAACAAAATGTATTGCCTACATATAATTAGCTAATCAGAGTCATGCTGGTCATACACTAGATGTTTAGCTTCAAATATGTGAAAGAGAATTTTTATTAGACTATCAACTAAATTCATTTAGAAGTATCAGTTATAGATGTATGATAATGCTACTTTAGGACATGGGAGTTCTTAAAATTTCAATAATTTAGCTCATTCCACTAAAATAACATCGGGATATGTCTCCAAGTTACATGTGAGATAATATCAATTTATCTGAGTTCTGTGTGATTGGGGTCTCAAAGGAGAGCAAACAGACATAGAACAAAACAGTACGCTTTGTAAATTTTATTTGAAATATCAATATCCAGATCCTAGGATCTCAATTAGCACTAATTAGGGTGAATGGAACACTAAAAATTATCAAATAAAATATGTGAGAACAGAAGTCAATCAGTGTCAGCAACACGGTGGAATAGTATGCCCTGCAAAACCTCCTTCTGGCTGCCCTGGACACATTAAGCGAATTAACACAGAGATCAATTTGCCTTTGGAGAAATCCAGAGACCTGTGAAGACACTCCTGTACACCAGATGAGGATGAAGTCCACCAAAGCCAGCAGGAAAACACATACAACCCCTCACCTGTTACAATACCCCATAACTGCAAGTCCTTGACTCCTGGCTTCTCCCTAGAAGGGGAAAGAGCAGTCTGGGCAATTTGTTCCGTAGCCTGACCTTTCCAAGGTGAGCAAGTGATGGGTTTTTTCCTTCCTGAGTCTGAATGCTGAGGCAAAAAGAGCAGGGGTAGGGGCTGCTGAACACAAAAGGAATGGTGTGGAATAATGCACACATGCTGGCAATAGCACCTCTCCTTATCTTAATGTAAAGTAAGCAAGCAAAACCACCAAAATCCTATCGTATTCCTGCTAAAGCCAAGAGTTGAAACATTCATCCAACATTTGGCCTTTTTACGTGGCTGCCTAAGGGACTGGATTCTGTGTTGCCTATATCAGTATGCTGATAGGACTAACAAACTCCAGATGCCTGAGGAGTAGGGGAGCTGAGAGCAAAGGTGGGACTAGCACCCACTCAATCACCAGAGTCCCTCTGCACTGGACCAGCCTGGCTCAGCCCGGAAAGCTCACAGCTCCTGTAGTCTCTCTGGAGAGAGAAGACTGAAACTCAAATGCAAATGTTAGGCGTCTGAGGAGGCTGCCTGAGATACTGGCTTCAGTCTTTCTTAATGATTGGGCTCCTCTGGTCAGTGTGTGCTTGCTCCTGAAGACCTGTAAGACGGCAGACAAACAGCAGAGTAGCAACAGATCACTGACTTCTAGAGAAAAAAAAAAAGGCAAATTTTCTAATTAGGAGTTTACATGCCTAAGTCCAGATAAGATACTTATACAGAAAATATTTGGATGGTCATTAGGAAATTTAGATAGGTTTGTTGGCGAAAGCTTTCCTCTACGTGAAGAACATCCATAAAGTGTCAGTATGCCCCCTCCTAGACTGCTGATTGACACGATTCCATCTCTCTGTGCATTCATCCACCTTGGTGGCAGCATGCACAGCCCACAACACTGTCTTGTGTTCAGGGCATGCTTAGAGCTCACTTCCCAAAGGCACACAGTTCCACTGGTTCCAATCACAGGGCATGGGGACAAAGCCCTGAGTACCACCCAGTTTCTGGACAATTTTGTTGGATTTGTCTGTGTGGCAGTATAAAGGGAAGCCCAGTTTGTTCAGAGCCTCCCTCTGCTTGAAGCTGAGGTAGGAGATGAGACCGTGGTTTCGGTACTCAGGCACAGTAGCTCCCATTCGCAGCTCTCCAGTGTGGTCCATCAGGAACCATGACACGGGGCTCCCATCAGGCCCCAGCAGGCAGAGGCTGGGGAAGGTCCGGATGCAACGCTCTATGAATCTCTGGCTCCTCTCATTGCCACCAAAATGCCAGAATTTATTTACCAATGGTGCGTGGGCCACATCCATTGTTGAAGGTTTAAACATCTCTTGGTTACTGTGGAGAGAAAGGGACAGCGATAGCTCATCATGTCACACATAATGTGAAATATTTGTATGTTTTCTGCACAATGATTTCAAGAGAAAAACAGAGCACAGGTCAGAGACTGTGCTTGCAGCCAGATTGCTTGGATTCACAATCTGATGGGATCTGATTGCTTGAGGAAATAATTTAATGTATTTCTGGCATTACTTCCTCTTGCATAAATGAGAATACTGATAGCACTTCTATCAAAATGCAAATGAGTGTGAAAAAGCCATTGCATGTCAAGCACCTAGACCAAGTCACACAAATAGTAATCCCAGGAAGTTGTTTGATTCCTCACATTGTGATGAATCATGTAAGGTGGGCCAAATGACATTATGCCTGTTGTGTAGATCAGAAAAATGACTAAAAATTTGAAAATAAATCCTCTGGAGTACAGGCTAGCAAGACGAAAAGGCATAATGATGATGTCAAAAGATCCTTGGGCCATCAGGTTGAACAAATGAGAGAGTTGAGGGGCAGAGAGGGTCAGTAAGCAGAGTGCAGACGACCCTCGTTATGGGCTGCTGAGGTTTGCAACCTCCCGCAGCAGTGTAAAGCAGCTTCAGGAGACATCTTGGAAAGTACCCAGGCTGTGTAATTAGGTCTACATTCAAGGCCAGGTCACCCTTGGTCACCTACAGTGATGACAGAGTCAAGTCATCATCAAGGCACACTTTCTACCAGCAAAATAATGGATCTGTCTCTGATAAGATTCTAGACATCACAGTCTAAATAAAGCTTGCTTAGGAATTAACAGAGAGTGCTAAAATATGAATTCCAGATCAAATCCCTGTCTTCCGCAGTGGAAAATATCATTAACATATAACATCTTTTATCAAACTCACATAGCATTGGATTTGACAGGTTGAGGAGGGAGGTTCATTGTCTCCAGAAGTGAAGGGACCAGTTTCTTTGCTGTGTCAGGCATCATATAAAGAACGCACTCTGTTCTCTTGACCTTGACCGACTTAGAAGCTGCAAGATTTTGTATTACTTCATCTAGGCTGCCCTGTGTACCTAGAGGGGAGTGAATCAGGACAGAGTAGTCCTTTTAATCATCACCAACAGTGACCCAATGGATGTACACAACACTCAGAGTCAGGCAACTTTGCTCCTTCTGACTGAGTTGCTCCCTGAGTGTGCTTGCTGTTTGGCAAAATAGAAATAGCACCGAAAATTCCAGCTGTATCACCATGAAGCCGTAGTAGTGGAATTGATTGTGCCGATATTATGTGCCCATACTATATGATCTAACATCACCTCATCCTTATATGATTCTGTGCTTCAAATTCTTTCACACGAGGAAGGTAGTGATGTGTTAGCGACGTCATTTTCTCAAGAACTTGAAGCAGGTGACAGGCACGCCCGCCATCGCAAAGGCGGCTGTCTGTGCCCTGAGAGGCACTCTATGACACAGTTAGCTGTCACTCTTATCCCAAAAATGCAGATACGGGGACAGCTCTGCTTTCACACACAACCATCTAGAGGGATCTAGAACAGCTGGAATCCTCACTAACAAGAAATTACGCTACTCAAAGTTCCTTTTAACAACCCCACTGTCTGCAATACTTGATTTCTACCCCCAAGAAGAGGGGATGGTAATTAACCAAAGGAATGAGCCCCAGGATGACAGATTAGGGTTTGGTAGACAATATTAAATGTCAGGAGACAATGTGATCAGGATGAAAAATGACCTGACAGATGTGAGCAAGAGAAGTCCCAGCAGCCAGGCTACATTCTTACTTTGGATCTGCAAATGTTGTTTCCAGTTAATGATATCTGACGTGGCAAGGAATTCTTGACACTTGTTGAGATCCTTAGAATAGATTAGGTAGGTATTGGTGTAGTGATCAAAGTTGTCGGTCATCTCCTGTTTGACAAACATGAAACAAATCAAATGGCCTACAAGAAGTGATTTCAGTATCTGCACATAGTATTTCATCATATTGATACTTTACATGCTAGAGTATGGATCTATTTCTTTATGTATTAACATAATTACAGAATCATATCATGGAAACAAATCAGGGGCTCTATTCACTTCAGGAGAAAGGAAAAACTGCTGAGCCAAATATTTATATGTTGCATTACAATTTCAAATCAATGAGCTAGCTTAAGAAGCATTCCTCTGTAATTTTGAAACCCTCAGGAGAAAGAACAAAAGTGTTATTGCCAAAGGTAAGCTTCTGTTCCAATACTAACCCATGTTCTGAATCAAAGAGTCTCTGATAACACCTGTTTTGAATCTGATGACAGTAAAATCAAGCAGTAAGAATTTCTCTAATGTTAAGGTAACTACCTATTTCTCTATTAAGAGAAAAAGAATTTAGAATACTTTTGTTATTGCCACTTGTTTAAAGATTTTTTTTCTTTTTCCTCTTGACTTTTTTCCTTGATATAGGTCTTTAGGAACATATTTAATTTCCAAATCTGTGTGAATTTTCCAAGAAGTTTTCCGCCCTCGATACTACATCCAGAGCACTGTAATCTGAAATCGTTCTGGAGACATTTCCAACGTTAAGTTTATTAAAGCTTGCTTGTGGCCTAGGTTCGAATCCGCCCCCAGAGAATATTCCATGCGTACTAAACAGTTGTGTCTTCTGCTACTGTCGGATGTGAAACTGTGCATGTCTGTTGAGTTAACTGAGACAAACTGCAGCTCAAGTTTAATGTTAGTTAACCAACTTGCTTTCTGATTGATCAATCTACTGTCAAAAAGTAGATCATTAAAATTCCCTATTACTGTTTGCCTATTCGTGTCTGCTTTATCTATATAGGTGTTCTAATTTGGGGTACATATATTTCGATGATGTCTTCTTGGTGAATTGATCTTCTTTGTCTCCTGGGATAGTTTTCACCTTCAAGTCCATTTTAAGGATAGCACCCCCTATTGCTTTTTGGTTTCTATTTCTGCTTCTATCTCCTCAATTTCAACCTTTCTGTGTCCTTAAATACCAAGTGACCCTCTTTTGGACAACATTTAGTTACATATTGTTTTTCTTCATTCATCCACTCTTTGGATTGAAATCTGTTTGCATCCATGATTGGTCCTGAAAAGGACTTTCTTATTTATTTTCTGGTTTATTTGTAGAATTTGTTTCTTCCTATCTTACTTTCTACTTTTGAAATTTAGTGTCTTCCTAGAGCACTAAAGTTTTATTACTTTCTCTGTATGGTCTGCATGCTGATTACAGATTTTTGGATCTTTTTGTTATTGTTATTAACATGGAACTTACATATCACCTCTCAGTACTTCTGCTCTATCTTAAGGTATAATCTTCAAATAAGAGCAATTTCTTAAAACAATAACAGATGTTTTCTATGCTTTGATGCAGTATAATTAACATCCTTATGTCCATTTTCTTTTAAACCTGTTGAGAACTGGGAGTATCGCTATGCTCTGTCTCTATTTCTGCTCCCACGTACATTGCAGGCACTTAGGAAATGGGATCATACGTACTCTTCCTCACCCACCAACAACTTACCTGCTCTTGAGGGCAAGCAACCACTGTACTAAAATCAGGCCACTTGTCCACTACAGCCTTTAGATTGAATGGGTTTCCATGGTACATGTGGAAGATGGTGCCATAAGCCTATTAAATTCCAACAAAGTAGGAGGGTTAACACTTGATTATGTAGGAATAGTAAGCCGCCTTGTGTTTAGCCAAGAGTATAGCTCTGAAATTAGGTCAAATAGAGCAAATAGTTCTCAGATCCTATTTTATTACCACAAACTGAAACAGATTTCCATATCCACTCATGAGAGTATTATATAAAGTTCATAATTCATATAAATACAATTAATAAATTAAAAAATCACATGGTACCCCATAAATGTGCATGATTTAATATTAGTTAAAAGGGTAACAAATAAAAATCCAGTCTTACACTGTAAATTTTAACATTGCATCTTCCACTTCCTTCCACCGATTTACATATTCAATTCTATATAAGCAATAAAATTACCTAAAATATGTTATTTAATATATAATGATTTCATAGGTACTATACCACAGACTTAGTTCCATGTCTATGCAATCATGTTTAATGATTACATAAGATCAATTATGTACAAGCATGATCAATCACTTCTACTGTCTTTAATTGCTCTTCTGTGTGGTTTACAGGCCTTCCTCCCAGGAATTTTGCATTCTTACCTTTAGAGACTCGGGAAGGCTGTTTCTCAAGGACGTTTCTAGCATCTGCAGCAGCTGTGGTTTCTGCAAATGGATCATCTTGGCAATACCTACGAAGTTAAAGAGAAGACCACAAAATATCAGAGTTAGGGTTACTGGAAGATGTTTGGACACAGTATGCAGTTTTAGCTACCGGTCTTCCTTCCACTCCTGTGGGTTCACTGGTACCCCAAGAGCTACATTCTTCAATAGTTTCAACAAAGTATAAAGCTAGTGCAAGTACCAGTCTTTTCCCCTGAAAGCATGTCTCTTATAATTCATTAACTTTTGCAAAAATTCCTAGAATTTTCATTTTTATTTTTATATCACCAAGAATTTCAGTGATTAAAGGTGCTGTGAGATTAGTAATCTCTAATCATATCCTAGCGTACTTTGAGGCTACGTGTATTTTTGTTCTTGGCAAGCCGCACTATGCCACTCACAAGTTCTGTGTCATTGACAAGTTACTTAATTCTCACCTCACCTCCTTGGTTTCATCATTTACAAATGGCCATGAACTATAAATAATAACTTTCCCAAAGAGTAGGTGAAGGAAAAAAATCCAGTTTTTGGAAGGTGTTTTGAATAGTATCTACAATTTGGTAAGCAATTAGTGATTATGATTTTTAGTACTTTTTATTCTTGTCACAAGCAGAATTAGTCCATTTATGTTGCCATAAGAAACTTCCATTCGGTGACCTTTCCTGTGCACTGCAATGTGCTATAGATTATAAGCAAACTGAAAAGGGTTAACTGGAAGTAACCCATGTAATTTGTTGTACTGTGAGAGCTTTCAGCCTTTGCCATAATGACTGGTTTTAGTAACACACTATATGTTTCAGTCATTTTTATCCATTACTAGTATTATTAACTTAGTAAAACATATTTGGTTGCTACTAAAACCAAAAACAAAATAGAAGCAAAATTGTGAATACCTATACTGGAAACCTAAAAGTGATCTAGCCCAGTATTTCCAAATTGGATCATGCATGAGGACAATCTGAGAATTGAAGAAAGTGAAGAAAGCAGAAGGAAATTAAGGCTTTTATACAGTTTGACCAGATTTGCATAAATAGTGACAGCAGTGACATTTGAATCCAGTGTCTTCTTTGTTGTGTGGTGACTCCAACATCAACCTTTGTAATTATCATTTTAAAACTGTCAAATTATGTAGTGTACACATTTGAAAAACTGTTTATTCATTTGAGAATCAGAGAGGGTGTGTTGCAGGGGGAAGAGATAAAGAGAGCTGGACAGGCAGATAGACTCCTGGTGTACTGGTTCACTTCCCACACACCCACAATAGCTAGGCCTGGAAGGGCCCAGGCATTACAGCCTTCCCCTGGTGCCTTCTCAGTGGCAGCAAGCTGAAACTGACAAGAGAGCTGGCTTTCCAACACAAGCACCTTGTCATGATGACTTAACCACTAAGCCAACATGTGTTTCCTAAGTTTTCGACACTAGTTTTTTCATTGAGGAGATCCATGTGTTTGTGTCTTCCAGTTTAATCATTGCATACTGTATATTGTATGAATACAACAGAGATTGTGTATTCATTACCAAGTGAAAGACAGTTATTTTTTGGTGTCTGTGCATTTTTCAATTAAAATACATTTCTAGAATCCTATGCTAAGTGTATGTTCAACTTTATAAAAGAAACAGCCTGTTTTCCAAAGTGTCTGTTTTACGTCCTTATTGAAAAGTAAGAGATTTCAATGTTCTCCACAGTATCTCTAACACATATGCAGAGAATCTTTCTTTATGCAGCCATATTCAAAGATCATTGAGACAGTGGACACATTCTCCAATACAACCCTTCCAATTCATACTGCAAGAATTTTTGTACAGCTACTTTGCAAAGCAAGCCAAAAGGTTAAGGCCAAAGTGTTTTCCAATGACTCTTGTTCTCTGAGAAACTGATGATGTTCAACTTCACCCAAGGCCTGCTACTACAAAATAACAAAGGTTGGAAAAATCTTTCCAATTCTTCTTTGTTCTAGAAGTTGCTTACTACAGGAACCCACCTTCCCTACATGGCTTTGATTGAACCCACATGTGTTCCCCTTATTTGCCTGTGACAAGATTAAAGAATAGGACCCTCCAAAATCCCATTCTTAGTCTCATAAATGAGTAGCTCAACTACTAGCCCCTGCCAGTTAGCAAAGAGCAGTGTCCTCTCTTGCCCTTCCTCAAGGCTGAGATTGCACGAAACGCCCCAAAGCACTACCAAGAAGTGTTGAAATTTAGATAAAAGAGAGGGGTTTTTTTTAATCTGTTATTGTGGATTTGGACACCCTATCATCCCACCTCCCCCACACTGTGTTTTTTTCTAGCCCTGTTTCTTCACTCATGAATCGTTAACGAAACTGCTCATCCTCAGCAATCCAGGGGAACAAAGTGCTTGTTAGTCAAACTGAATAAACTGTGGTTACCTTTTTCTCCTCCCGCTCAAGACTATTAACTTTGGCCCACTTTGCTCCTGAGCCAGGACTAGCATGCAGAAAGGTTTTCCTTTCTATGAAGACACTACATACATTTGCTTACCTCCCTGCATAAAAGAATAGACCTCACCATCCCACTCTGTCAGATATCTGCATGTTTATTCATCTAGAAAGTCCTTCTTCTCCCTATCGCTTTTCTAACTCTTCAAAGATTTCTAACTAAAAAGCCTCATGACGCAAGACTGAATATTCTTTCTTTATAAAAATAAATTGATATAGATTTTGTTACTAACTAAATTTAATTTTATGACTAGCCTAGAAAAGTAAGCATCGATCTTTTTATTCATTCGTTCTTATATTCAATAACTCCCGATCAAAAACATACTGTGGTGACTTTGCAAGGTATTATCATGTTTGGCATGAACAACATTTCCTGGAATTACTTCCCCTGTAGGAAAAGAATGATGGGTGAGACACAAGTGATACTGACATGGGAGGCTTGCAAGGAGGAAATAATTTAACAGTAGCTATGTTTGCAATTCCCCACACTTTCTCTGTTTACTGTGCCAAGTGTGTATATTCAGCCTCTGCCTGTAGTGCTTGCATCCCTTGTGGGTGCTGATTTGTGTCTTAACTGCCACACTTCTGCTCCAGCTCTCTCCTTATAGCCTGGGAAAGCAGCAGAGGATGGTTCAACCCACTGGATCCTGGCACCCATGTGGGAGATCCAGAAGAAACTCCTGGCTCCTTTCTGGTTTGGAGCAACCCTGCTCCAGTCGTTACGGCCATTTGGGGAGTGTACAGCAGAAGGAGGATCTCTCTCTGTCTCTTCTTCTCTCTCTTGTAATTCTGCCTTTTGAGTAAAAATAATAAGTCTTTTTTATTGTTATTAACATTGTATTATGTGATACAGTTTTATAGGCACTGGGGATTCCTCCCACCCCTCCCATGCCCCTCCCCCCATGGTGGATTCCTCCACCTTGATGCATAACCACAGTTCAAGTTCAGTTGAGATTCCTTCCTTGCAAGCATATACCTAGCCTAAAGTCCAGCGTCTTATTGTCCAGATAAGTTCAGTGGCCTCTTGGGGAGACCTTCTCTGGTCTGAAGGTAGAGCTAACAGTGTAAAATCCGGTCAGTTAAAAGCCCCAACAAAACCTCAGTATCAATATACAACATTATGGAATTAATTGACATAGTATTGAGTAAGCAATATGTTAAAAATAATGCAAGTTCCATTCTTCGAAACATCTGGGTTGAGACAGTATCAATGACAGGTTCAAAAAATAACAAACAACCAAACAAAAATTACAAGTTAAATCAAGGCAAACATGTGGTATCTAACCTTTTGGGATTCGCTCATTTCCCTTAGCATTATAGTTTCCAGTTGGGCCCTTTTAGCCACAAAGAACTGCATTTTGTTTTTTTAATAGCTGAGTAGTACTCCATGGAGTAGATGAACCAAAACTTTCTTATCCAATCTTCTGCTGATGGGCATTTCGGTTTTTGCAATCAAATAATAAGTCTTTTTTTTAAAATTCCGTGAAATTTAAATTTCAATTTACTCAAAGTTTTTTTTTAAAAAAAAGAACACATAATTGCATGTGACTGAATCCCTGTTACAGATCTGCTGCTACTTCCATAAACCTTGACTGATTCCCTTTCCTTCAACAACTTTCTGATCAGTTGGGAGTCCAGGACAAACAAGTAACAACAAATAAATAAGGTAAGTTAATCAATTGCACAACTGGTAAATACCACACAGAAAGAACTAAATTTTTTATATATGTAAAACAGTATACTCGTTTTATGAAATTACCAAGGAGTCTTTTGGTATGGAACATTCTTATGTGTTCTAACAATGGATCATGAGATATTTATTTGGTACAACACTGAAATTGCCTTGGAACAGCACATCCTATAACAGGGTGCCTGGGAAAAACTCCTGGCTCTGTTTTCCATTTTAGCTTCTTGCTAATTCATGCCTTCAGAGGAAATAAGTAATAACCCAAGTAAGTGAGTCCCTGCCACCCACTTGAGATAATTATATTGACTTCCAGGCTCCCAGCTTTGGCCTGGTCCAGCCTGAATATTGCAGATATTTGGAGCATGAACCAGCAGATGCATCTCTCTCTCTCTCTTTTTCTCTCTCCTCCCTGTCTCCTTCATCTTTATGCCATCTCAAGAAATAAATAAAATCATATTCTTTCTGTTTATATTCCTAAATAATATTTAAACTTCTTTGAATGCCAGCATTCTGATAGAGTGCGACAAACTGCTACCTGTGATGTCAGATCACATTAGAGTGCCAATTCGAGACTGACATGCTCTGCTTCCAATCCAGCTCCCTGCTGGTGAGCTGGGGAAAGCAGCAGAAGATGGCTCAAGTACTCGGACACCTACACTCTCACAAGAGACCTGGATGGAGTTCCTGGTTTCTGGCTTCAGCCTGACCTAGTCCTAACTGTTGCAATCATTTATACAATGAACCAATAACTAGATTCATTTTTTCTCATCTTTCCCTTACTCCCTGTCCCTGTCACTCTGCCTTCCAAATAAATAAAATAAAATAAAATAAATCTTTTCTTTTTAAGTGGGAGTGGCATTGTGGCATAATAGGTAACACTACC